TTTTTCATCAAACATACGGAAAAATTACCTGATGTAAGCAATAGCTAGTGGTGGTGATGGGGGGGGGGGGGGTATCTCAAATAGATTAGAGCTTTATCAAGTCTAAATCAGGTTCTGGCTAAAGGTTAGGAAGGGCAGAAACTGCTGCCATTCTACTACTACGTACAGAGAATACCTTTTCAAGTGTGATTAAGACTTAAAAATGTCTACGAAACACTATATAACTTGCGGGGCCCTTCCTCCCCCCCCCCCCGCCAATAAAAATACTGACTGAATATCTTTAATGAACATTCATTACATAAATTTGGATTCCTAAATGAAAAAAAAAAAAACTGGTTTTATTATGTCATTAAGTTTCCTTTCATACATTGTTTAAGTCTAAACCCGTCAGGAATCAGCTGGAGGAGTTTTCAGCGCTTCTCTATACCCCCTACCTAGCTTATGGGGGGAGCGAAGGAATGTTTTTTTTTTCATCAAGTGGGGCGTAACAAAAGTTTAATTTTGAGAAATACTGCGTTTTAGACAGAAGCATCAAGTTCAGATCCTTAACTTTTGCAGGAAATATTTTCAAACATTCAAAAAAAATATATATATATTTCTGACATACCACGTTTTTGCAGTCAAAGAAGAAGTTATAATGAAGCATTTATCATATACACTTTTTTAGACAATTTTTTTTTTAAATCAGCATACCTGTTAATGCTAAAGCCAAGTAAATCAGAATAGTCTGAAAAAAAATAATAAAATAAAATTATTAATAAATTATTAAAATTATTATTAATATTATTTGATAGTCAGTGCCATGTATTGGTTGTGGACCACGAGATACACTTGTTTATGGAGAATATGATTTCGCACGGGGAAATCAAGGAGCCACAGTTGCATTGTGGGAAAAAATCTCCTTTTGAGAACTGACCACATGGCCAAGAAGCAGTCTACACCATGTAATTGAAGAAAGACAGAAGTGTCTTATGTATTTAAGTATTGAAGCATTGAAGTATTGCTAGCTGTGTGTTTAATAAAATTCTATTTTGATTGTTTGTTTGTAAAATGTTTTACATGTTTCGGATGTTCCTTCAGAGTTGAAGATAGTTTACTTCCTAGTCCAAACCTCCCGCAGGATGACGTGGGATGGGAGCGGGCAGGGTTTGAACCCTCGACCGTCGATAAATCCGAACGACAGTCCAGCGCGCAAACCGCACGACCAGGCAGCCATCCATTATGTTATACATGTATGTGAATTATTTCAAGTATTCTCATTGATGGCTGAAGTTGCCAATTTATTGTGATTTATCTTATTATGATGATTAAATATTTCGCCTGCTGAGACAGAGTTTGTTTCTAAATATGCATGTGTTGGGGTCATTTTACTCAGCAGATCAAGTAGACATAGGCAACAATAAATTAGCGTGAAGTAGAGCATTTAATTAATACTGTAGACATACCAGTAATACCAGAAGAGGTATTGAAATAGTACAAGAAACAATTATTAAAATACAGCCTTACACTAGTTGAAACAGGTTTTGTGTATGTAAATTAAGAACCATATGGTTATGAAATTTTACCAATCAGTAAAAAAAATTACAGCGTCCTGAATAAATCTCTAACTGTAGTTTAAAAGAAAACATTAAAAGAAAATAAAGTTGTAATATTCTATTGATAACTCTAGTGCCACTTTTCGTCTTTAGAAACGATATTTTCCCTTTGCATTTTCTCGTGTGACTAAATAGGCCATAATTACATTGATATTAGGGGTGTGCTGTGGCTGAGTGGTTAAGTGATTAACTTCCGAACCTGGGGTCCAGGGTTCGAAACTCGGTGATGACTGGGATCTTGAAATTCGTGATTTTTAGGGCACCCCGAGTCCACCCAGCTCTAATGGGTACCTGTCTTTAGTTGGGAAAAGTAAAGGCGGTTGGTCAATGTACTGGCCACATGACACCCTGCTCGTTAAACATTGGCCAAATAGATCATCTGCCCAGTAGATCACATGGTCTGAAAGGGAAACTTTATTTTGAGGCGCGGTGGCTGAGTGATAAAACGCTTGTCTTTCGAACCGGGGACCGGGGTTCGAATCTTAGTGAAGACTGGGATTTTTTATTTCGGGATCTTCGGGCGCTTCTGAGCCCACCCAGCTCTAATGGTAACTGACATTAGTTAGGGAAAAGTAAAGCGGTTGGTCGTTGTGCTGGCCACATGACACCCTCGTTAACCGTAGGCTACAGAAACAGATGATGTTTACATCATCTGCCCTATAGACCACATGGTTCGACAGGGGAACTTTACTTTTTTTTTTACATTGCATGAGTAAAACAGACTATAAATCACCAGTTGAATGAAATTTCTATGACACAATTACCTGGCTAGTTGCGCTCCTTACAGAATGTTTGTGATAACGTTACGACCAAAATTTGAACACATTTTAATTGAATTGACTACAACTGTGACAATATCTTATTACCTCGCGAGAATAAAAACAAAGCCTTGTAACTTTTGCCTGATTAATAATTATGTTTACAGACCCTGAAATTAAAGTTCATACTGTTAAGTAATTATGTTCATAACATTTTTTTTTTTACTTTGTCTTTCAATAGAACTTACATCTAATTTTTAAAGAAAAAAAAACTTTTTGCCACCAAATAGATTTTGTAATTTTCTGTAGTTTTTTTTGCATCGAAGAAAGGCTTAGACATATTATATATCCAAGTCAACATTTTGCAATAAGTCTACTCACATTCATTCTTGTCTTCTTTTACGCACAACCTTTTGAAGTAAAGGAACCTCTATCTATCACAATGAAAAAAAAACCCCAGTGAATGATTATTTTCACTTGACTAAATCGAAATATATAGCCGATGGCTTGAAGCTGTTGCTACAACAGATGACGCTACACAACAGTGGATGTCATACCAACTGATAAGATTTTTTAATTGTTTCAGTGAACTATTTTGCAATGGTTTTATTTGTATGATTTACCAGTACAGCGTTCTCTCTGGCGGATTCTCTTATCGCAGTGACAGCGACACGAGAATTGCTTAAGATATTTGGAATACCCAGAGACAAAAGAGTGTAGTAGTACTCTAGGATACCTGAGTGCTTTAGTAGTATTAGGCCACAGATATTGTAGTTGTATGGTGCTATTTAATATATTAGGAATATTAGTACTTGCTGTACCTAAATGGAACCTAGTCAAGGAAAGCCAACGTTTTCTATAACGAAAGAATTCCATTTCCTATTTGTGTGACATATTGTTTTGCTGTTATAAAAACGTGCATAACAGAGACAAAGAGAGAGAGACAGAAAGAGAGAGAGAGAGAGAAAGAGAGAGTTGGGAGAGACGGAGAGAGAGAGTTGGGAGAGACGGAAGAGAGAGAGAGAGAGAAAGAGAGAGAGAGAGAGAGAAAGAGAGAGTTGGGAGAGACGGAGAGAGAGAGTTGGGAGAGACGGAAGAGAGAGAGAGAGAGTTGGGAGAGACAGAGAGAGAGAGTTGGGAGAGACGGAGAGAGAGAGTTGGGAGAGACGGAGAGAGAGAGTTGGGAGAGACGGAGAGAGAGAGCTGGGAAAGACGGAGAGAGAGAGTTGGGAGAGACGGAGAGAGAGAGTTGGGAGAGACGGAAGAGAGAGAGAGAGTTGGGAGAGACGGAAGAGAGAGAGAGAGTTGGGAGAGACGGAAGAGAGAGTTGGGAGAGACGGAAGAGAGAGAGAGAGTTGGGAGAGACGGAAGAGAGAGAGAGTTGGGAGAGACGGAAGAGAGAGAGAGAGAGAGTTGGGAGAGACGGAAGAGAAAGCGTGGTTTGAGCAAGACTGAGGAATGATAGAGAAGACTGGGTGACAGATGGGAGAAAAGGACAAAAAGGAGAGACATAAGAAGAGAGGGAGAAGAGAGTGCATAAAGTCTTACAAGGCCACTCAGAGTCACAGAAAAAATAATCTTACCGATAGCTAAGTGTCCTACTGCTTCTCTGGTGCTGCATTAACCATCTCAAGATAACATATCATATGCCCCACACAATTCCCCCCCCCCTCCCATTCGCAATACACCTCTATACTCATAAAATGCCCGACATCTTATCTAATTTTATATGTTACAGACGATCCTTAAAATTGAAAAGATTATTAAGTGAAATGTACTGTTGTAAAACTGTTTTGTTCACCAGCAGTCTCTGCACACTATATTGTGGAGGGGAGGGCTGCCATAACGGAACTCCGCCCAAGTATTAAAGCCAATATAATCGTGAGGTGTTGGATTTTAGTAAGGATTTTGTGGATGCCCTTATCCTCTTCAAAATTTAATGTCTATGCACTTAATAAATATTAGAGCATGTCATACTTCTGAAAAAAACAAAAAACAACAACAATTAAGGTCTGTACGACGTGGCAACGAGCTATTGGTCACCAATGCCCACAGTTTGCGGCGTCGCAGGTCAGTGTTCAGGCCTTCTGTAACGAATAGTGTCGGTAGAAGATGGACTGTTTGATCTTAGTACCTTCATTCTTCTCTGCTTCCCTTTCGTTGAATTGCTCGCCTAGACTTACAACAACAACAAAAAATAGCTAAAACAAGGTTAACAAGATAGTTTGTGTTTCCACAAAAAACTAAGAATAGGCCCCCGAAGTGGTCCACTCAGGCAGGTAAAAATATATTCAGCATGAATATCATAAGTTTCACATTCAGCTATCTCTTTGTCTGTTGGACCGTTGAAAAATCACTAAAGTTTTGTTGGCTGTATTTCTCCATTCCTCTCTTTTGTCTTGCCTAGAATCTCTTTCAACGACAGGCCCGTCCATTATTTTATATTGTCTTCCCATCGCTTTTTCTGTCTGCATCTTCTTCTTTTCCTGGTACTGTTCCTTGAAGGAAAGTCTTTGCGAGCTAAGCTAAGAACCACAAGCTATAACAACCACAAGTCTGTCTCCGTCAATAACAACAACAAAAAACAAACGAAGACAAACAGTGACAAACAGTAAGAAAGTATTTAAATTAAAAAAATGAATACACCATTATATTTCAGATTTATATATTTCTTGAGTCTGGTTCCCATGAAACTACATGTCTTGAGAAAGAGTAATTAGCGTAATTAACTTAATGATATACCACTGTCATCACCAACATTCAAATCCGAGAACCTTGGCTCAAAGTGGTTACCAAATTTGGTATTCACCTATTTTTTTTTTTTTAAATCAAAATATATACATGTGAACAAAAATAAAAAGTAAAATTATAAATCGACAAGTGGAAGTGGCGAGGAAAACATTTCAAATAGCACATTTAAAAAACAAAACTGTACATTAAAAACAAGTACAGTTATGAAGTTCAAGTTGATTTAAATTGTTTACATCTTACAGATCGAAACTGTTAGTGATATAAACGTGGGCCTAAACTATAGCCTAGAAGTGAGTTCACCCTTACGTAACAGGCATAGAGGCACACATTTTAATCAGTCTACAGAACTTAACTTTGAGTTCTTGGGGGTTTTTTGGGGGGGGGTTTTTTGGATGTTAGTTTCAGAAATAAAGATTATTACGTCCTAGCCAGACCCTCATATAGTACGGCAGGAGATAGAAGCAGGCGGTGTTCAAACTCGGTACCATCATAATGACAGTCGGAAAAACTTACCTAAGTTTAATTTTAGTAACTTTAGATTGTTATAAAAAATATTCTACAGTGGATTTTTTAAAATAAAACAGTAGATTCCATATTCAATTTTGTAATGAAATAATGTAAAAAAATGGATCCATTTAAAAAAACAAAACATTTTTTGTAACCATATAACAGATTTACAATTTATGCACTGTCAGAAAAAATAAATGATTTAAAATTGATGTGTATATTTATCGAAACATCTAAGAATGCCGAGATAAAATGGCTTACTGCATGACTGGATGCATGTCGCGTGTAGGACGTAATCATCCTGTTTACTGAAGTATCGTCTGTATTTTATAAGATAAGATATTATTTGAAATTTTCATACATATTAGCATTTTGGTGTACAAGACAAAGGAGGTATTAGTTAGATAATTTTTTTAATAGGTAGTCATAATTTATGAACTCTCTTTAGTACTGCAGAATCAAAATTTTTTAATCTCTATAGTACACAATTATTTCACTATTGCGTATGCATTCGACTTTCACTCTATGGCTTAAAGCGTATTTAAGAGAAATGGGCAACTAAGTCGTGGTAATGAAGATTTGATACGAAGATCAATTGCCAAGCATTGAAAATTAATTGAAATATTATTAAAATTATTATTCATTTTATTCAGTCGGCCACAATGACGTCACTTTAGCATCCTTGAAATTTTAGTTTATCGTAGAAATCTCTAGTAATGGTCAGAACAAATAAATATAAGTCCTTGTTTAAGCTAACATGTCATTTACTATGATTTACATAGGCCTACAATTAAACTTAATGTTTCATAACAAGCAACATTGAACATTTTATTATAATGCAAATATTTATTTGTATTACTTTTGGGTTAATTTTTTTTCCATATTTTTAGATATCATATTTTCTTTGCTCATAATAGATAATTTGCAACTGTCTATGATAATAAATAATATTATGAGAATATTTTTAAAGCCTTCAAAAACCATTTCACATATTAATATCTTCTTAGTCTCAGGCTTTAAATAATATCATATGAAAGTAAATTTGGCACACAAAAATTAAACTAAAATTTTAAATACAGCTGTTATTTTAAGCGAAAATCTTGATTAACACAACAGATGCCATCACCAAGAATCCTGAAAAAGTCAGCATTTCAGAACCTAGAAATAAAGGAAACAAAAAAGATCATTATTTAAAAAAAAACAAACATAAAATGTACACATCTAACTGCATGTACCAAAAAATGTTAATAAAGGGTGGAGGATACAAACGTTGGTATAAAATGGGAATGCAGATAATTTCAACCACAAAAACAATTCTTATTGTTTAGAATCGCTAAACAGGAAAAGAATAATAATAAGACTTGTCTTCGAGTCCGAAGATTAATGAGGAATGCAGTACTATCCGTGGCTACGCATAAAAGTAATGTCTACTGAAAATAAACTTATCTATTGGAGAAGGAGAATAGGAAGAACAGCAATAAATATTGCGAAACTCTGTCTAGATTACAAGCTACAGGGGAAGAGAAATGGCGGGCCACTAAAGCGAATAAGGAGATTAATAGAGCAAGACGCAAAGAGCAGCAGTATGGCAGAGAATACAAGCTGGCTGGGATCGAATTCGGGACCCTTGCGATGAAATTCCGAAGCGCATACCACTCGACCAGGGAGCCCACGATGGTAACCGACTAAATCTATGCAGTGGCGATAATAAAACAGAAAGAGACATAATTTTTAACCAAGCGTTTAATGATGAGTTAACAGTGACAAAGAGACGACTAAAGTCTAAGTCTAGATAAATCGGCCGACCTATCGTTTCAATTTTATAAAGTGCAGTCGATTTATATATTTGCTTAAACAGGATATTTACTTGGCTTTTTAAATTTAACAAAATAATCGCTCTATACGTTTACAAAGAAAGTCTTGTCTTTTTACTAAAATAGAGTACTTATTATTATTTTATTTTTTACAAACCTTATACAAACTCACTCCATTCGTCTATCTTGATGGAGACACTTTTATTCTCCCACTATCCATTCACGGTTCAGGTTGAAAATCAACATTTAGTTAATCCGACAGTGGTAATTAATTTTTGTTTTATATGGAAAAAGGGAGATAAAACTTTCATTATTGAGAGATACTTAGTTACTAAACAATGCTCTCCTTCACTCTATACAAGCTTGGTTTTTAATAAAAGTATTTTTCAGAAATTACACAAATACTAAGACATTTACGTTTCCACAAACTACCATGGTGATTAGTTCCTCCAACAAGCATCTTCTGTGTATACAATTCTCTACTTCGCCCAACCATGCGGGACACCACGCCCGCACGCCGACTCTCTAGCCCTTGATGAAAAGGTCATGGGAAGATAACTCAGTTATTTCTGCAAGTTGGACTAGAGCTACACCACGTAACGTTCGCGGTGATAGAAAGCGCGGCTCAGAAAAAAATGATGGGGGGGGGGGGGGGGGGGGGAGAACCAGTAATCTTCTCTGTATATATAATGCTCTACGTCGCCCAACCATACGGGACACTACGCACGTACGCCGATTCTGTAACCCACCTTCCGCCCTCTCCCTCCAGCACCCGCGCCTTCCTCTCTCTCCAAGCATGCGTACACAGTTGTTTGCCAGGACCCATCCCATTTGGACCATTGTGTCTTTCAGGAAGTGTTTACCCGTCACTAAATAGTGACGTATGCGACGCCGCGGGTCGGCTAGTTGTCATTATTTCCTCTAACAAGCATTGTGATCAAAATGACAGAAAAAGAAACGTGATTTAAGTGCTCGAACAAGTCCCAGAAACCCTGCGGAGTCTGGGATCATATAAAATGCACTGACAGGGGCTCCTCTTGCTTGAGGCTGTAGACCGTATGGGGACTTAAGAGACTTTCTATTCTAATCGCCATGTACAATGATATTCATAACTAACAGAACACAAAAAAACTATTCGGATTTACCCGATCGTTCATTTTCATCATTACAAAAATATGTACAAAATAGGTTCGGTTAAATTGACAAATTATTCAACCGACTGGGGCTCGGTCACGTGATACTTATATTAAACCGACCAAAAAAAGATAGCAGACACAATTATATCAGAAGAACAAAACAGGTTTTAGACAGCGCAACAGATGAAATCCTAAGCTTCAGAATACTCTGCGAGAAATACTTCAACATCAACAGAATCTTTTTCATGTCTTTATTGATTTCAATTGATTTCAAGAAAGCTTCGACAAAGTATGGCATAGGGCACTTAGGGCGACGATGAAAAGTGTAATATAAATGAAAACATAAGCAGGCCACTAAGACAGTGTACTTCAACAATAACATTAGGGACTGGTTTAAAATCACAGCTGGGATAAGACAAGACTGCCTAATTCCACCAACTCTTTTCGATATCTTCCTTGGAAGATGTTCTCGAGGGCTATGAAGATACTGTATGCGTTGAAGGAAGAAAAATTACTAACTATCGTTTCGCGAACGACACATATGATCTTGCAGGGACAGAAAAAGAGCTAGCTGACTTGGTGATGCGCATAGACTAGAATTCCGCAGCATATGGTCAGGGTCGGATTTAAGGGATGGCAGGTGGGGCAACAGCCCAGAGGCTTCCACAAAAACATATTTCGACGGGACAGCAACTTTACATTTATTTACACTTTTTTTTTTCGAATTTTTAATAATAATACTTTTAATCTTACACTGTCTGGGTTTAAACGTGTCAGCTTATATATTATACTCCGGATTTACTACTGTAATAAGAGATAAAGGAACACTGAAGAGTAACCTAAAACAAGGCATTATTAAACTAGAACGACGCATGAACTGACGAAAGAGACTTAGTAGAACACTAAATCAATGTTGTGAACACATTCTCACTACGTTACACAAACATAAACAAATAGTAACCATTTCACCACAACTACATTGCGTAAATCCTTTTTTTTTGTTGTTACCAAAAACATACATATTAAATAATTTCTTCTTTAAACAATGGAAAATTTAAATTAATTTACAAGTACTCTCTTTTATAATATAGCATGCTATTAGATATCAGTATTTTTGTTTTATAATAAGTGGATTTTTATTAATGTTTTCGAAAAAGCGTAGAGGCCTCCACAAAAATTCTGCCTCGGGCCTCATGCCCTGGAAATGGCATGCAAATCAATGCCGAAAAACACAATATCCAAATCTATAGCCATATCACAATTCCTCATGGCTCGCAAAGACCTTCCTTCAGAGGACAGTATCAGGAAAAAAAGAAGAGGCAGACGGAAAGCGGCAGGAAGTCAACATAAAAGAATGGACGAGCCTGTCATTGCAACAGATTCTTTCCTAGGCTAAAGGGAATGGAGAAAGTAAACATATCTTGTCTGGTGCCCCAACGGTCCCATAGACTGAGTTACTAAGGTATAGGTAAGCTGAAGTCAATTAGCTCAGCAAAATTGTTTAATAAATATATTGAATACTTCAATATTCTTATGATTACAAAAAAATTAGGGAGTGTAGAGCAACTCGTTGCGATTACACAGTAATAAAACATTTTTTTCTTATTCATTCGCTTCTAATAAAGTCCCAAAAAAAAAGATTAAAGAATGAGAGAAATCATGTGTGTTTGAGAGAGAGAGAGGAAATAGATAAGGGGATGGAAGGGAAGAAAGAGATAAATGTCTATGAAAATTCCAGGTATGTTAAAATATTGGATAATAGAAGAAATTCTTACTTTTGGAATGATCTGACTGTGTGTGATCACTGGTGTTAGCTGCAGTGGAGGTTGTGTCAGCCATATTTCCAGTATTGGAGGTTGTGTCAACCGTATTAGAAGTGGTGATTATGCCAGTCAGATTATTTGTATCGGAGGTTGTGTCAGCATTAATATTTGT